TTTTAATTGGGCACGAACTACATTGTGAATTCAAATTAATAAACGTGTTCATTTATTTTATTTGATGAAATTGCATGACGACCAAGCATGAGCACACTGCCGTGGAGGTGTGCCACTTGTGTCACCCCTGATTATCAGATGTATAAAGCCACGAATCTATGTATTATACGTGTAAGTACTTGTAAATATGACTGTATTTTTTATTCTTAGAAAATGTAAATTTTATATATAATTTAAAACTGAAGCTGTTTTTAAAAAAAAATAAAGTTACTGACAAACCTGTCGTCGCTTTTACTGCATTGAGTGATTCACAATGTCCGTATCTCAGACAAGTCAAAATATATTTGTACAAACATGTCTATAATTAATATATGATATGGGTCTTTCGGTATAGCCACGTAGATAGAAAAATAATCATGTATATAATTAAGCGATTGGTGTCCACAGCCACTCGTCAAACACAGGTGCTGAGAGTGAGTGCGAAATGCTTAACAGACAAAAAGCAGATCGTATCTTTACTCATTCTCTTTAACGTGTGACATTTGTTTAAAGTTTGTTGAAGACCAACTCTGGCATTCTCAACCCCCCCCCCCCTAACTCACCCGAGTGTTTGTACACCTTCTAAACACGGTCGCACTACTAGCTTGCTGTACTGTTTATGCGACCCACGTCTCCGTTAACAGAGATTTGATAAATGAGTAAAAGTATTATTACGAGTAAAAAAAAGCTTTAATTAAAGCTATTTTTGGGTGAGCGAATTTAAACAAAAAGATGAAAAAACGGAAAATTAGATTTCATTTAGGTAGGTGATGCTTGCATGGCAAAATGGTTAGCACACTGGACTTGCAATTAAAAGGTCGCTGTTTTGGTCCACTGCTATAGGGATGAACTCGTAGCTCTGTTAAGATTGTGCACAATTTAAAATGCGGGTGTTGTTGCTAAAGCCAATCAAAATTTGCATGTCTGTCAATCTGCCGGTGTGTAATATGTTTATCAGTACGCTACATGCATATGTGAGTGTGTCGCTTATCTACATATTATATAGGGGGTTGGCTGACCTGGACAGCTGTACCATGCAACATCTACAGGACCAGAGACAAGACGAGCATTTAGAGCAATATCTGATTTAATAAAAATGTCCCAGAAATTGTATTTGCTCTCGAATGTAAGCAAGGATATACCCATATTCATATACATGACCATATACAAATGCATTATGCAAGCAAGGGCATGACCATAGACAAATACATTACATGCCATTTAAAACACAACCATACTTATCGAGCTGGTATTACATTTCTGTTGAAACTTAATTTATATTTTGCTTGATGTAGCAGAACATATTTCACTCGTTTTGAGCACACATACAACTGTACTAGATTCAAAATATGTAAATGTCTACTGTATCCATAATATAGACATTAGCTGCATTGTTTAGCAATTTATTCATATCAATCAAACAAATCGTTCGTTTAAATTGTACAAACTACGGTAGCTTTAAATTTACTGTAAAAAGGTAATATTAATATTTGTTTACCTTACAAAAATCTATATATTAAGTCTCAACATCTTTTCATAAGGCTTCTGTTTTGCCAGGTGGTGGAGGGTTATGGTTAAAATGTTTCCATTATACCTGCACGATCTAACCCAAAATAAACAAATAATGAATCATAATATTGGTTGTGAAAGCCTACATATTAAAGTTACTGCTTGGAATGTTTCATAGTTCGTTTTTATTACGAAATGTTTTTCGTATGTGGGCAGTAACTAGAACATTTGTTGCAGCGTTGGCAGAAACGAATTGGCCCAGAGACACGCCAGTCGCATGAGAGAACAATGCTTAAACTCCATGCACAGAGGGCATTTAGGAACCTATTTGGCCTAATGCCCCTGACAAGGAGCTCTTTGCCCTGCAGGTTAATGTCTGAAACACGCTCTCTCTATGCCCATATGCGAGTCTTGTTATAAACATTAGACCACCACGAAAAAACACTCTTTGGCGAATAGAAAACTGGCCTTTATTAAAGCTGACAATGACAGTTCACTTTAGTGTCATCGCTATCCCACAGTGGTGGCTAACAATGTAGCCACAATGGGTGATTCATCTAGCTTGTGAAACGTTCATTTGCCGATCCCGTGTACTCGCTCCACTGTTCACTGCTCAAGCGAAAGATCACTACGCGGAGCACGTCTTGACCTTCACGTTCGCCATCTGGAAGTCGGCGTCTGCCCCTATTAAAGTCAATCTCCGTGGGTTGTGAATTCTCCCCATTGTGACTCAGACAGATCATTGTCAACCTTCTTCTTGGTTCTTTCGGTAAAGTCACGTAGAAGGGAAGTAATAAAATAATAAAAATAAAACATAATAAAACAATTCTCATTGTCAAGTCAAGCTATGATACAAATGTGTAAATATTTTCACAAGAAAGCCTCACTTAAATCTTTAGAGTGTGTCTTCAGGGGGGTCCTCTTTGTGAACTTTTGATCGTTACAGTGTTTTAATTTGTTTCAATGAAGAACATTCGTGTGTATAAGGGTTTAATAAAGAGCTATTTATCTGGATAACACACGCGCATCGCATTTCCGTACAGGTTTGCGTCTCATGCAATTCCCATCTCTGTATAATGCATCAGCCCCATCTCTTAAGTCGCTGGATTACAGACATGTGCCACAAAACCTGGACTATGAATGTATTAAACACCAATCACTAATGAGTTCATATAGCGCTCCCCAGCATGGGATGGTGGAATTTTCATCACTGGCCCAATGTTTCCAATGCAGATGAGTGCTGCCCCAATATTCGTCTCGAGCAGGGAGACACTTTTGATTGGATACAATATATTATCAGACAGCTGTGCAGAAACCCACTTGTTCCAACAGCCAATTTGTTGTAAAGCGGTTGCCTGTTTGATGTTTTACAGAGACATGCGTGCACTGGCTTTATCCCCGTGTAAGTCATTAACTCACCCATCGCTATATCACAGGTGTTCAACCCTCGAATGAATGAGAGCTACATTCGTGAATGGCTTAGGTTGCCACTGAGCCATTAATTATTATTATTATTTGTTGCACAAGATGGTGAGATGTGTCACAAAGCGCCTGAATGGCTCTAATGATGTTAAAGTCTCGAGCTAATACCATTAAATGTAGGATTAGCACTATATTCTCATGCTGAAAAAGTCAACCCCTTGCCGTTCTCACAATATATAAGATAATTCTTTGGGTCTTTCGGTAAAGTCACGTAGATAAGTTAAAATTAATAACGAAAAAAATATGAAACAAACAAAAAACTACGTTTCGATCCCAACACAAGCGATCCTGATGACGATCGCTTGTGTTGTGATCGAAACGTCGTAGTTTTTTTGTTTACTATTTATTTGTATTAATTTGAACCTATCTACGTGACTTTACCGAAAGACCCAAAGACTATTAATTTCTGCAGTCACGAAAGCTTTTAGTCAAGATTTTCCTGTAATTATCTGTTTATCATCACAATTTTTCTCACGTGAAAATGAATATGGGCGTTAAGCAGTACTGTATCATAGAATGTGATTTATTCAAATATTTAATGTATAAGAATTGCGGTGTCTGTGGATAATGGTTGTCTCAGAGCACTACGCCAGCAACACTGAGACCCTGAGCTAGAATCTGGGTTTCAGTTGGCCAAGGTGAACGAGCTTAACCCATATTCAAGTGCAGCCAGCCGATTGTCCCAGTTCCATCAACAATGACAGCATAATAATTCAACATATACAATCATTATTTTCTTGGATAACAATCTATTATTTTAATATATATACTTTTTGGCGCGCGGCAAACCATTACTCACAAATATAACTTAGCGCTCTCTAGTGATGGGAGTGAGACCTATTGAGATGTTATAAGGAGTTCTGTGGCCCAGACGTAATATAATTTTCATCCTAATTAAAGTTTGCTGTTAGTTTTTTTGTTGAAGAAAATAACACCCACAGTGTATATAGAGTTTGCCTTTTGGTGATAAAATGCATATGGAGTATACAAACTAAACAATCAATAACTTGTCCTACACATAAAGGCTGTGGAAAAGCCTGGCTAGCGAGCACCGATTTCAAGCCAACACGGCGCAAATGGAGCTGTTTAGGATCGGCATTCACACCCGGCCGTCTTTGTCTCTCCACTGCTGACAACCACACTGCCTCAAGGCCAACACTCGCTTGGGATGATTCAACCCAAAAGAGGGCAGTCCTTTGAGTCGCGCTATGCCCGAGGCCACTACGGCACCCAATAACACACAACAACAACCGCCATTCGCCAGTAAGTGGCGGTGACGTCACCACGACGCTTGTGCCAGGCCATGTGCACCTTGAGGCCACGTGAAGTGTCGAACGCCCGCTGGCAGGAGGTCACGGGGCAGACCCATGTGTCACGGGTCGACTGACTGAGATGACCGAGATGATTGGCCCAATAACAACAACAACCACAACCGCCATTCGCCACTAAGTGGCGGTAACGTCACCACGACGCTTGTGCCAGGCCATGTGCACCTTGAGGCCACGTGAAGTATCTAACGCCCGCTGGCAGGAGGTCACGGGGCAGACCCAGGTGCCACGGGTCGACTGACTGAGATGACCGAGATGACTGGCCCAATAACACACTCACACACACACCCAACGCGTGGGCTAGAGGCGTCAGTGGCTACTGCTGCTACTGCTGCCCCTCTGCTAGCGCGCGGGGGGGTGGACGGGGGGTGCTGAACTGGACAGCTCCAGCTCGACATCGCGCCGCCAGCCATAGCGGGGCCGAGGGGGGCCAGCAGCTGCTGCTGCCACCCTCCCTGCAGGGCTCGGTTTATCACCGGTTACAATCGATATGTCAGACACGACTTGTTTATGCATGCAAAGCACCCCTTACCCTGCCCCCCCCCCCGAAACGCCAGACACACGTAGAGCGCACAGCTCCACACCAACCTCGCGTTTCCACGCTGCCGCACTCGCAAACGATACAAGCAGGCAGACACAGGCCCGCCCGTATTACATTGTTTTTTCTCTCTATATAAATCATTACATTGTACTTTGTTGTAAGTCCGGGGTGTGGTTTTAGCCGAGGCTGCTGCATTACACGCGGGGATTTTCTTTCTTTCTTTCTTCCCGAGCGAGAGCAGCCAGAGTTCAGTGGGACAGGCTGCTGGTGGTTTGTGTGACGCGCACCCCCGTGGGTTGGAGAGCGGCTCTGTGTGTGTGTGCACACAGCAGCAGCAGCACACACACCTCTACCTCCACGGTATTGTACCGCGCTTATACTTCCATTTGCACACCATACCCGTACCGAATATCATACACATCCGTGCCCGTGTGTGCTTGCTACATGTATCTGTGTATACATACTACAATATATATGCGACACGTCTAGCACGGTTGATTACGTACGGTGCGAAACAAGTTTAACGTACACACATTATACCGCGTCTACCTCCACACACGCTCACACCTCTCTTGGTGAGCACACTGAACGCTGACCCGCGTGTGAGTGTACACACACAGGCGCGCAGCCCTGCGTATACGGGTGTATGCATTGCAATACGCGCGGGATATGCACATGTGGGTGCTTCTGTTCGTGATTGTATGCATGATACGCACTTGCGTTGAATGTCTTTCGCACCGTACGTCTATGCCGTGTGCACGTCGAAGCGAGATAATGCGGCAAGTACACTTGGGAATGAATGATCGGCGCCTGAGTGATGTGTGCGCTCCCGTACATTGTTATAAAACGGTCGTTGTATCCCGCGGTAGCTGCTCGAGTATATACAGTACACACACACAGAGAGCATGTATGGCCAGCCCTGTGCACGTACCCATTGCTCGTTTGTGAGTGCAGCTATGGAATGCACATCGATCATATGTACGCACACGCATGCACGGACACACACGCGCAAACGCACAAACAACGAATGTACCTATACACACGCGCAGACTCATGCATGTACTGTATGCACACACGCATACATGTACACAAGTGCACACACACGTGCGTACATGTATGTACGCACACGTGCACAGACGCATGCATGTACACGCACACGCACGCCTGTACACACGCGCACACACCCGTGCATAAATGTACGCACACACACACGCGCGCGCGTGCACAGACGCATGTATGTACACACGTGGCCAGGCGTGTGTGTGCACACACGCGCGTGCATGTACTCACACACGCACGCACACACACAGCCGCGCGCTCCGCCTGTGCTCAGAACATCACTCCCCTTGCAGCTCTCGCACAGCAGACAGCGCAGGCACGGCACAAGGGCGCGCAGGAAGCCAGCCAAAGCCATTCCCTTAAGCAGCAGCAGCAACGACAACGACCAGAAGAAGATTAAGCGGAGAGACAAGCGAGGAGCAGCAGGAGGACAACAACCACCAACGACCAAGAGGAAGACCAAGTAAAGACGCACAATGGCAGCAGCAGCAGGGAGAGGAGGGGGAGGAGCAGGCGGCGGCGGTAAGGACGAGGAGCTGCCCGTCTATTTCGGCCGCTTGGGCTCCGGCAGTCCCAAGCCTCGACAGAAGTACGGGGGCATGTTCTGCACGGTGGAGGGCGCGTACGAGAACAAGACTATAGACTTCGACTCGTACAGCGTGGGCCGACGATCGGCCGCGGAGACTCCGAACCGGTCCGGGACGCGCTCGCCGGCGTCCGGCGACTCCCCGCCGGGCAGCGTGAGCGGCGGGGAGTCGGCACCCGGCAATGGGGACGCGGAGAGCGGGGCACCGTTGCCCGGTCCGCCCGGGGTCACCACGACGAGCGGCAACCCGCTCACGATCAGGGCGGCCACCGGCAAAGAGGCGCTGCAGAACAATGACGACGACGTGAAGGTGTGTGTGTGGATGAGTGTGTGTGTGTAGATGAGTGTGTATGGATGAGTGTGTGTGTAGATGAGTGTGTGTGTGTAGATGAGTGTGTGTGTGTGTGTAGATGAGTGTGTGTGTAGATGTGTGTGTGTGTAGATGAGTGTGTGTGTGTAGATGAGTTTGTAGATGAGTGTGTGTGTGTCGATGTGTGTGTGTGTAGATGAGTGTGTGTAGGTGTGTGTGTGTAGATGAGTGTGTGTGTAGATGAGTGTGTAGATGAGTGTGTGTGTGTATATGATTGTGTGTGTGTATAGATGAGTGTGTGTGTGTGTAGATGTGTGTGTGTAGATGAGTGTGTAGATGAGTGTGTGTGTATAGAGGTGTGTGTGTGTAGATGTGTGTGTAGATGAGTGTGTGTGTGTAGATGTGTGTGTGTAGATGAGTGTGTGTGTAGATGTGTGTGTGTAGATGAGTGTGTTTGTGTAGATGAGTGTGTGTAGATGAGTGTGTGTAGATGAGTGTGCGTAGATGAGTGTGTGTAGATGTGTGTGTGTAGATGTGTGTGTGTGTAGATGAGTGTGTGTAGATGAGTGTGTGTGTATGGGGAGCGGCAGAGTAGCGGTTAGCGTGCTGCGCTACGAACCCGGCAACCCAGGTTCGATTCCCACTCACGGCCAACACCAGTGACGATTATTTGAACCGGTCCCGGGCCTCCCATAGGTCGACTCAGCCTCAAATGAGTCCCTGGTGCAGTGTGTAAACATCGACAATGGGGAGACAAAGGCGGTCGGGCGTGGTGCTGGCCACCCACCCCCTCGTGTCGTTCCCGCATTCATAGGTGCTCGCTAACAGCACTTGCCCCTACAGTCTGTTAAGGCTATACGGGGGATCTTTGTGTTTTGTCTAGCCAGTGACGGTTGTCTGAATTGGTCCTGGGTCGCCCCAAGGTCGACTCAACCACACATGAGTACCTGGTACAATGTGTGAACATCGCCACTAGGGAGACAAAGGCGGTCGGGCGTGGTTCTGGCTACCCACCCCCTCGTGTGTCGTTCCGGCCTTCATAGGTGCTCGCTAACAACACTTGCTCCTACAGTTTGTTGAAGGCTATACGGGATATCTTTGTCTTTGTTGTGCCTGTAAGTGGGGGCCGGTAGTGCAGTGGTCAGCGTGTTGCGCTACGAACTTAAAATCCCAAGTTCGATTCCGGACCACGACTAACATCGGTTTACGAGTGAGATCTGAACTGGTTCTGGGTTTAGATATCTGGGTCGACTCAGCCTTAAATGAGTATCTGATGCGAAAACATGAGATGGCTGCTCACAACACTTGCGAAAACATAACGTTATAGGAGGAGTCTTTGTGTGATAATTGGTTCTTTACCCTTCTATCTGGCAACAAAACTGACACCTTTTTGCAAGGAGTCATGTTTGCATAGACCGCAATACCTGCAGTCATAATACAAACAAAAGAACATAACTCTGATAATGTGCACTGTCCTTGAAGTTGATTGGTCCACACCCGAGACAGCTTTCCTTCGAGCCTAGTCTCATATGGGTTGGACCAGATGACGCTAAAAGGCGCACAACTCAAGGACAATGCACCATCAGAGTATGAGAGCTCGGGGCAAGCATCTACACTATGGGGACCTCATTTGCCAGTAAAAATATGATAATTGGTTCTTTACCCTTCTATCTGGCAACAAAACTGACACCTTTTTGCAAGGAGTCATGTTTGCATAGACCGCAATACCTGCAGTCATAATACAAACAAAAGAACATAACTCTGATAATGTGCACTGTCCTTGAAGTTGATTGGTCCACACCCGAGACAGCTTTCCTTCGAGCCTAGTCTCATATGGGTTGGACCAGATGACGCCAAAAGGCGCACAACTCAAGGACAATGCACCATCAGAGTATGAGAGCTCGGGGCAAGCATCTACACTATGGGGACCTCATTTGCCAGTAAAAATATGATAATTGATTCTTTACCCTTCTATCTGGCAACAAAACTGACACCTTTTTGCAAGGAGTCATGTTTGCATAGACCGCAATACCTGCAGTCATAATACAAACAAAAGAACATAACTCTGATAATGTGCACTGTCCTTGAAGTTGATTGGTCCACACCCGAGACAGCTTTCCTTCGAGCCTAGTCTCATATGGGTTGGAGTTGTGCGCCTTTTGGCGTCTTCTGGTCCAACCCATATGAGACTAGGCTCGAAGGAAAGCTGTCTCGGGTGTGGACCAATCAACTTCAAGGACAGTGCACATTATCAGAGTTATGTTCTTTTGTTTGTATTATGACTGCAGGTATTGCGGTCTATGCAAACATGACTCCTTGCAAAAAGGTGTCAGTTTTGTTGCCAGATAGAAGGGTAAAGAACCAATTATCATATTTTTACTGGCAAATGAGGTCCCCATAGTGTAGATGCTTGCCCCGAGCTCTCATACTCTGATGGTGCATTGTCCTTGAGTTGTGCGCCTTTTGGCGTCATCTGGTCCAACCCATATGAGACTAGGCTCGAAGGAAAGCTGTCTCGGGTGTGGACCAATCAACTTCAAGGACAGTGCACATTATCAGAGTTATGTTCTTTTGTTTGTATTATGACTGCAGGTATTGCGGTCTATGCAAACATGACTCCTTGCAAAAAGGTGTCAGTTTTGTTGCCAGATAGAAGGGTAAAGAACCAATTATCATATTTTTACTGGCAAATGAGGTCCCCATAGTGTAGAGTCTTTGTGTCTTTGTTTTGGCAGGAGTCGAACTTGGGTTGCCTGGTTTGTAGCACAGTCCCATTGTATTATGAACCCGGGGGACTTAGGTTCAATTCCCGGCCACGGATAACTGTGATAACTGTGACAATGGGTGTCTGAACCTGTTACGGGCTTCCCCTAGGTCGACTTAGACCTAAACGAGTATTGGGCTGCATTGCATGAATATCCGCATTGGAGAGACAAAGGCGTTCAGGCGTGGTCCTGACTAAACCACTAGTCTTAAGACGTCCGTGCAAACAGAATTTTCCCTAACATTCTACACAGGATGTTAACGTTGCCTTTCTGAATATCCTGTGTGTGATCTGTGTGTTATCGTGTTTTGCGTGTCTGTGTGTTGTGTCTTTTGTGTGTGAGTAGTGTGGTGTCGTTCTGTGCCAGTCGTATTGTGACTCCGCACCCAAGTGTGTCACTGTGTCAATGGGGTAGTAGGCGCGTGTGTGTGTGCCTTTGTTATTGTGTCTGTGCGTTATTGTGTCTCTGGCGCGTGGAGAGCGCAATCATTGCGGTGAGCGCGCTACATACCCGGCCACCTGAGTTCTAATCCAGGCCACGCCCAACATCAGCAACGATTATCTGAACCGGTCCTGGGCCTCCCCTAGGTCGACTAAGCCTCAAATGAGGACCTGGTGCGATGCATAAATATTGCCACGAGGGAGACAAAGGCGGCCGGTCGTGGTGCTGGCCCACCCGCCCTCTCGTGTGCTGTGCCGGCCCTTCATCGGTGCTCGCTAACAGCACTTGCCCCAACAATATCTTGAGGCTGTACGGGGGATCTTTGTCTTTGTTGTGCTATAAGCAGGTGCGTTGCCTTGTGTGTCATTGTATCTTACCCTGCGGTGTCACGTATTAGTTGGTGCCGGATGTTGTATCGCACTGTGTCAGTGTGTGAGTGCTTCGTGTGTGTCTGTGTGTGAATGGTTCATATTGTGCCTTTTCTTACACGCCGTGACGTTCTTGAGTAGTATTTTGTGTGTGTATACGGTACAGTGTTTGTGTATATGAATGTAGTTAGTGGTGCGTGTGTTCACGCGAGCGTGTGTGTGCTGATTAGCGCAATGCGCCAGATCTCACTGGTCCAATATCACATTCCTGATCAGGCACATAATGCAGAGAGGCCTGACCCTCTCCTAGGTAGACTCAGCCCGAATAACCACCAGGTACAATTTGGCCAATATGAATGTGGCATCCCACAAGCACTCTAGCGCTTGCACCGGATTTAATAGGTGCTCGCTAACAGCACACACGGCCCCCCGACAGATTCGGCAAGCTAAAGGAACATCTGTGCCCTGCGTGTGTAGCCATGTGTTGGTAAATGCGATTCGCCGAGTGAAATTGTGCATGAATCTGACCCGCTTTGTGCAGTGCGTGCGCACTGTGAACAGATTATTGTATTGTGCATCTCCATATTTGAAACCGAGTCTGGCGAAAATTAACTCCTTGATAAGGGGGACAACTCCCGAGATGAATGCATGTCGGTCTTTGACGTGCATTCTGCAGCAGATGGCACGCGCTGATCGCCCTGGACTCAACTCCGTTTCTAACGGACATGTTTGGTCGGCTAATTATTTCATGTTTTGAGTGTGGTGCGTGTCTGCCGTTCACGACTTGCATGCCATGTACAATGCATGGGTCAGTGTATGGGTGTGTTCACGGCTGTGTGATCATGGTTGTGTGTGTAGAACATGGCATTCAATTCCCGCTCACGGCCAACACCAGTTCCGTTTATCTGAGCCGGTCCTGGGACTCTCTTAGGTCGACTCACCCTCAAATTAATATTTGGTGTGGTATGCAAACATCGCCACTGGGGAGACAAAGGCGGCCGGGCGTGGTCCTGGCCACCCACCCTCTCGCGTGCCATGCTGGCCTTCATAGGTGCTACCTAATAACACTTGCCCCAACAGGGGGTTGAGACTATACGGGGGATCTTTGTCCTTGCGCGTGGCCTCAAGGTGCACCGAGCTTGGTACAATCGCTGTGGTGACATCACCGCCACATAGTGATTGTTGTTGTTGGTGGTGGTGGTGATTTCAATAAAAAACACAAAGTGGTAGCACTTGGTGTCTAACCTTGAACCACGTTTTATTATGTGCCTCCCCATGATTGTGGGGTCAGCATTAACACGGGCAAGGTAATGGTGGTGTGGCTTTGCGCTGTCACTCACTTCACCGTGCCAGCTAATGTAGGCGCTTGCCCCAGCAGCCTGTGAGGTAGAATATTGCCATATTCTTGGTTCTTTCGGTAAAGTCA